CTAGAGGAACGCATCCAAAAAAACAATCTGGAAAGTGGACAACGTAGAAGAGAAAGACGCTGAGCTCAAACCTTGGGTGGAATGGGAAAGGACCCAAGGCGTGAGTCAGGACTGGTTTCTGGGGGCGCATGGCTGGCTTGTCTGGGAGACCTGGAGAGAAGGCTGAGCTGGTATGTGGGTCCAAACACACTGTTTGTGCCTGTGTTCATAGGAACTGGAGGAGGGTCCTTCCACGCCCTAGAAAGTTCCTGCCCTGGTTAGTTTGTGTCACCTGGGAAGAGGGAACCTTAGTTCAAGGACTGGCTCTGTCAGACCATGGCAAAGTCTATGGGGTGTTTTCTTGATTGCTGATTGATGTGTGAGGGATCAGCCTAGTGCGGGCAGTCCCACCCCTAGGCAGGTGGGCCAGTGCTGTATAAGAAGGGACAAGCCAGTTAGCAGCGTTCCTCCATGACCTCTGCTTTCAGCCCTGCCTCCTGGTGGCTGCCTTGAGTTCTCACCCTTGACTTCTCTTGATAGTCCACAGGAACCTGTAAGATACAATAAACCATCTCCTCCCCACCATCTCTTCAGGTCAGTGTCTGATCAGAGCAACAGAGATGCAGACTAGGCCAGCTCCTGTCCGAGTATGGGCACTGGGGATGAGGTCATGGGGATTCGCAGAGGAAGGGAGAAGGGAAATGGTCTCACAGAATGAAAGATGAGGACCAACTGCCCAGAGCGCTCAGAACCCATTAGTGGTGTGTGGTGGTGAGTTTGATGTCAAATCTCTCAGTCAGTTCTGTGGCTTGTCTCCAGCCACATTTGCATATGGACGAAGGCAAGTCAAGCCAGGCTTACCCTAGAGAGCAGCTTGGCTAAGCATAGACAAACAAGGAAAGGGAGCAAGAGGCTCACTCTGCTGGGCTGTGGGGCTTAAGGCAGGTGTGTGTGTGTGTGTGTGTGTGTGTGTGTACCACGAGCGTCAGCGACCAGGAAGAGTGTTAGCATTGGTGTCACATCCAGGATCAGACCTGAGTAATGTAAGGGGAGATGTCCCAGTTACCATCAGTGACAAAGTTAAAGCAACGATGGTGACCGAATTAGAGCTAAAGGCAAGGCTATGTGGAGGCAAGAGATTAAGGAAACAAAAGACTGGTGGCCTAGAAGAATAGTTCAAAGCTGATACTAAAATCAAGAAATCTAGGCAAGTGTTTTCAGCTTCATTCTGCTGCTGTGGCAAATTCCAGGACCAAGATTACCCAGAGGAGGGAAAGGGTTTGTTTCAGCTTAGAGGTCACAACCCATCACTGGAGGGGGCGGGGTCAAAACTCAAGCAGAAGCCATGGAGGAAGCTGCTGTTGGTGCTCTTGCAGTCCTTTGCTTGGCTAGCTTTTCCAGCCAGCCCAGGATCACCTACTCCCTACAGGGGGCTGAGCCCTCCCATATATATGCACAGCCAAGGCCCCTCAAAGGCATCCATCCCTTCAGGCTGCTCTGCTCTGCGCAATCCTTGCATTGAGACCCCCTTCACTGGTGACTCCAGGCTGTGTCGAGACAGCTGACGTTAGCCCTGACTGCAGGGCACAAGGGGCTAAACTGTTGAAACTCTTCAGTAGGAATGTGAGCTATAGAGAAAAACAACTTTCTGGTACAAAAAGCCCTCTTGGTTCTTCTTCTCCTCCTCTTCCTCCCTCTTCGCCTACTCCCCTCCTCCTATTCTTCTTCCAGATCTATTTATATATATATATATATTTGTGTGTGTATGTGTGTGTGTATACATTTGCCTGCATGTGTATATGTGCCCTGTGTGTGTGTGTATACATTTGCCTGCATGTGTATATGTGCCCTGTGTGTGTGTGTATACATTTGCCTGCATGTGTATATGTGCCCTGTGTGTGTGTGTATACATTTGCCTGCATGTGTATATGTGCCCTGTGTGTGTGTGTGCCTGGTGCCCTCCAGCTCCCCTGGGACTGGAGTCATGGAGAGCTGTGAACCATCATTTGGGTGCTGGAAACTGAACGTTTATTTGCTGGGCCATTTCCCCACACCCTTGCCGAGAACCTTCTTAACAGAAGCGAATGATATTCTGTCCTTACTGTGGACTCAAGCGTCCAAGCACTCTGAGCAAATATTGTCTCTGTCGCACACGACCGAATGAACTCTTAATGGAAGGTCCACAAGGTCTCTGTGGGAGGAGGGCACGACAGGGTCTCGGTCACCAGAAACTCAATACTCCACAATCCGTCTCACTTTCTTTTTTGCCTAAAGGCATGGATTGGCACATTACATGTGCCCAGCAAAAGCCTTAATGATGACCTCTCAAAGACATAAAAAAAAAGCTTGTGTTTGTGTATGTGTACACACCACACACACACACACACACACACACACACACACACACACACACACATGAAGTGTCCATGGTCCCTGATAGAAAATTCAACATTATCAAGATGCTCAAACACCAAAGCTCAGTCCGGCATCCAATCAGCCTCTATGAGATGGTTTTCGTTTTGGTCCATTAGGAAGAGCACATATGAGGGGAGACTAAGAAAATGTTGAAAAGAATGAGGAGGAAGGAATCAATTAGAGCTGCCCAACCCTACCATTAAGGTAAAGTCAGAAAGAGCCATAGATGTAGGTACAAGGGAGAGCGAGCAGTCCAGAGACAGACTGCGCTAAAATCCAGATCCCAAACTAGTGGCAGAGCTGGACCGCAAATAACCACTGCTTGCTGTTACAGTTAGCATCAGTGGTCAACTTGACACAAACCTAGAGTGAAATCTTGGGCGAGGAAACCTAATTAGAGGAATTGATTTCATCAGAATTCCCGTGGGTGTGTTTATGGAACATTTACTTGATTGCTAATTCATGTAGAAGGGCCCTGCTCGCTGGGGCGGTGCCATCTCTGGGCAGGTGACCCTGAGTTGTCTAAGAAAGCAGGCTGTGCTAGCCACGAGGAGCAAGCCAGGAAGCAGCACCCCTCTGCAGCCTCTGCATCGGCTCCTGCGCCCAGGTTCCCTGGATGGTGGACTATGACCCTGAAAGCTGAAATAAAGCCAAGCACTTTTGGTCGGCGTTTTATAACGGCAGCAAAGAAGCAAACTAGAATACCTTTCATCTAGGAAAGACAGTAAACCCGTGTGTTATGTATAAAAATAAAGTACAGGCACAGGTGACCTGGAAGCAGAAAGGCCAAAGGAGGGAGGGGTGAAAAGTTAAAGGAAGGAGGGGGATGAGGGAGGAGGAGGAGGAGGAAAGAAAAGCAACAAAAACTGTTTGGAAAAAATTCCAAAACCTAATATTTTCATGCTTTAAAAAAATAAAAAGTCCAAGTAAAGCAAAGATATAAGAGTTTCTAAGCTACATTCTTGAAGATAATATGCAAAAATTTTGTTTTTGTTTTTGTTGTTGTTTTGAGACAGGGTTTCTCTGTGTATCCTTGGCTATCCTGGAACTCACTCTGTAGCCCTGGCTGTCCTGGAACTCACTCTATAGACCAGTCTGGCCTCAAACTCTGAGATCCTCCTGCCTCTGCCTCCTGAGTGCTGGTATTAAAGGTGTGCGCATTACCACCACCTGACATTTTATTTATTTTGTTTTTGAGACAGGATTTCTCTGTGTGTATTCATGGCCAGCCTGATACTTGCTCTATGGACTAGGATGGCCTCGAACTCACAGAGATCCCCCTGCTACTTCTCCTAAGTGCACCATGATACCATGGTTGGTCAGGAGACTTTCTTCATCTTGGTGGGCTGAGAAAAAAATGTTGGCAAGCACAGGATCAGGAGACAGATGCGAGAAACAGAGCTCACAGCAGAAGAACTTCAAGCTGTTGTATTTTATGCAATAAAAGGCTAAGGTACCAGAGCACAGGTAGGCAAAATGTAGTTCTCTGTGGTGTTGATTATTAAGCACACCATTGCTCAAAAGTGGGATCCGAGATGTTTACAGCGATGAACACGGAAGAGAGTGTACCACAGGAGCCTAACACACACATTCATGAATAGATACAAGAGTGAAATACACGCATGAAGCTGAAAATCAATAAATGAAATATAGCCCTTAACACTCTCAACAATCTTAGGAAACAAACACCATCTTTCTCCTTGAGCTGCCCAGATTTCCAGAAACACACAGACACAGCATTCAGTGTAAGGTTTGGGTGGTATTTAGAGGTAACTACAGTGCTCCAAAGACAGGCCATTCTCTGATGCTGACCCAAGAAAGAGATGCATTCATTTACTCCTTTCTTCCTGGAACTGAATAAAGCTGATAGTCAGCGATGCGTTATCCAGGACCATGGCCACCAAGCTTGTGCTGGTTGCAAGCATGACTCCCAGATGCAGCAGGTGCTTTTGCATCCTTGGATCCAGCCACTTCAAGCATCAAGGGAGTTCAGTACTCAGTCCTGGTGCTTGTCACGCCACTCAGTGTCTTCCCACAAGGTTCCCACTCTCTCCTCTTTTCTAAGCCTCTGCCTTATCTGCCTGTCCCATCTGCCTGTCCCGTCTGCCCCCGCGCCAGCCCCACCCTGCTCAAATCTTTCTCATTAGGAAAATGGTTCCCCCAGTCTCTAGTGTCTCCCAACAAGCAATGACATCCACAGCCAGACAGCCACTCAAATGGGAGTTTTTCCCTTCCCTTCCCACTTGTCTTCAGATGGGACAGATGGATGGGTGGGTGGCCATGTCAGGGGAGTCCTTAAGCCTCCTTCCACGCCACTAAAATGGTACACAGCTGACTTTCAGAAAGACTCTTGGCCCAGGCATCTCCCTACGGGTCTCTCAGCTCCCACACTGTGCTGGGTTTTTTGTTTGCTTGTTTTTATTTTGATCGTGAATCTGCACAGTGGAAGAAGATGATTAAAGTGAGCCAGAAAACACTCCCCATCCAGGCACACAAGTGTGTTCCAAAGACTGTGTCAAGCAGGGCTTGCTGGGGAGGCCTCGGCGGCTCCTGCTCTCCATGTCCTGTCTGAAGATGATCTTTCTGTGTTTGTGTCTTTGCTTTAGCTCAGTGGAGCATGACAAGTGCCTGATCCTCTATGGCGACGACCAGGTAGGTGTGGGGGTGCCACTGAGTCAACTACCAGAACGGTGTTTACTGTGCTTTCCAGGGGTGAGGTGGGGTACTCCCATGGGGGGGGGACATCTGTGTCCTGAGCCTGCGAGAAACTGAGAAGGAAAATGGAAAGGGAAACAACACACAAGAACATTCAGAGAAAATGCAAGCAGTGCTCACTAATGTGTGTGGTCCTCCCTAGCATGTGAGTGGTGCTCACTAATGTGTATAGTCCTCCCTAACATGTGAGTGGTGCTCACTAATGTGTATGATCCACCCTAACCCGTAAATCATGCTCAGTAAAGTGTGTGGTCCTCCCTTACATATAAATGGTGCTCACTAATGTGTGTGGTCCTCCCTAGCATGTGAGTGGTGCTCACTAATGTGTGTGATCCTCACTAACATGTAAGTGGTGCTCAGTAATGTGTGTGGTCCTCCCTTACATGTGAGTGGTGCTCAGTAATGCATATGGTTCTCCCTAACTTGCACGTGTTGCTCCGTAACATGCCTGTGGTACTCTCTAGTGTGTTTGGTGCCGACATACAAATCAGGTTTACTAACAAGCCTGAAGTACTATCTATTCGCATCACTACACCCCACAAAGGTAGAGGCTACTGTGACTCCTTATGAAAACGAAGAAACCTACTGGGCAGTGGTGGCCCATACCTTTAATCCCAACACTTGTGAGGCAGAGACAGGAGGATCTTTGGGAGTTCGAGGCCAGCCTGGTCTACAGATCGAGTTCCAGGACAGCCAGTGCTGTTACACACAGCAATCCTATCTCGGGGCGGGGGGAGCAAAACTGAGGGACAGTGGAGCAGCAGAGTGTGCCCAAGGTTCTGTGTTCCTGAGCTGGGTGACTAGTCTATGCCCTTGGCTCTGGGCTATAAGGACGACCAAGTTAACAAACAAAGATGTCCCTGGGAACCAGACATGGGCTAGGAGTAGAAGACCCCGTGTGGGATCCCTGGAGACATGCTAGGGAAAGGTGGAGGGTCTTCACCCGGCCAAGATGGAGAAATCCTTCACCTGCATTCAGTTCACAATTAGAAATAAGGCTTAAATGCAGATTCCCCAGCAGAGGAGACTGAGTGATGCAAGCAGGAACGGTGACCAGGTGACAGGATATTCCACACTCTTCCTAGTTTAGACAGGAGGGAACGGCGCCCGTCTAGAACTGCATCTGGCTTCCCTTCCCTATCTCACTCCAGGGCTGTCCTCTATGCGTCTTGGATGTTTTCATGCCAAGGGTTTTCATAGGAGAGAGCCCAGAAGCGAGCATCTAACCCTACAGAGATCCACAACAAACGGCTCACGGGCAGGAAGAGAGCACAAGCAATGTGTCGCTCCACTCTAGGGGGTGCCCTTCACAGGGACGAGTACAGGACCGGTGTCTTGAATTTGCGCCACACAGCCTCCAGGCTAGAATTCCCCAAATGGAATCTGGCAGGGACTTCATGGCAGAGGGAAGCCTCTCTATACCCAAGGTGTCCAGTGGCAGCCAGCCCCTGTGAGTGGAGTTCCTTGCCTCTGCTTCTTCTTGGATGCTTTCCTGGGTCTGGGCTGGCCTGGTTACTGCTTTCCTGCGCGAGCCGAAGAGGGAAGCCAGGACAGGTCCAGGCAGCCCTGGCTGCTCATTAGAATGCAAGCTCATTGCTGAAAATGAAAATGACCCATCTCACCTTATCCTTCTGACAGACGCGCTGGGAGCGGTGACTGGTTGCTCCCTACCTGTCACCACTGCAGCTCTGATCATTGTGTGAAGCGCCTGCCACACTTCAGGCGCCTGAAAGCCCCCCTGCTTCAGACGCAATCATCCACTGCCCCCTAGTGGACTCCGTGTGAATGACACGTTAGGCACCCAGGGTGTGTTGCTTCAGGATCGAAGCAAATCGGGGTTGCCTTTTATTTTAAGAATGGCTTGCAGCTTCTGTTGATTTCATCTCTGCTGCTCATATCTGAGCTTCTTAATTAACAGCTCTGAGATGGGATAAAATGTCAGTCACGGGTGACTTGGTGGAGCTGTATTTGAATGTTAAAAAGTCGTGGCATTTTCAAACCATATTTAAGACCTCGTTTGATGATCATTTCAAGAAAGATTTTCCCCCTTAGCCTGGGAAAAGGTTTAAAATGAATGTAATGTTAAACATCTCAGGGTGGCATTTCGCTAAGCCACGGGGTTATGCAACAGAGAAACAAGATTATTTGTAGGACGGCAGCGCTAACTGCCCGCTTTGTCATCTAATCTGCCTCCTAACCCTGCTCTGGCAGGTTTCAGAGGCTCCACAATTTGCATAGTTCTTTATTGTTCTGTATCCCTGGCACCGGGGACCCGGTCATACTTAGCATAAGGGAAGCCACATTTGTGACAGGGGACCTTGTTTGTTACGAGCCTTGTGAAGGCTCCTCCAGAGTGACTGTCCTTGAGGTGTCTGCAGCCTGAGCTAAGCCTCGTGGAGCCTTAAAAGATTACTTCCGGCAGAGCTCGGCTGTGTCTCGGGAGGCTGAAGAAGGGATCTACTTCTTTAAAGACCTAATTTGCTATTTTTAATTATGTGTGTCTGTGTGGGGGCATGGACAGACAAGAGCAGGTCCCCATAGAGGTCAGCAGAGGGCGCCAGATTGCCTTGAGTTGGAGTTACAGGTGGTTGTAAGCTGCCCGGTGTGGGTGCTGGGAACCAAAGTTGGATCCTCCGGAAGAGGCAAGATACACTCTTAATCACCGAGCCATCTCTCCAGCCCTAAAATCTACTTCTCTTTACTACACTTTTATTAATCTTGAGTGTGTGCGTATACAAACACGAGGAGGTCCGAGGACAGTCAATTTACAGAAGCCAGTCCTCTCCTTCCTCCATACGGGGCACAGAGATCAAAACTCAGGCCGCGTGCTTGTGGCACTTGCCTTTGCATGCCGAGCCAGCTCATGTAAACCAGCACATAACTTTTAAAAAAACTTACTATTCATTGTATTTGTGTGGTGTTTTGCCTGATATGTTTCCATGTACACACGCATGCAGAGGCCAGAGGAGGGTGTTGGATCCCTTCAGGCTGGAGTTGCATACAGCTGAAAACGGCCATGTGGGTGCGGAGACCTGAACCTGGGTCCTCTGGAAGAGCGAGCGCTCTTAACCACTGGGCCAGTGCACTGGCTCATCAACACACAAAATCTACAGTTTCTATGCCATTTTCTTATTACCTGGTCTTTTTAAAAAATGGAGCTGTGCCAGAGTTAATGCCTTTCTTGTTCTTTCTTCACTGGAACTTTGTGGACTGTACCAAGTCCTTTCTAGTGGCTGGGACTGTTGCAATCCAGACCTCCATGAGAAAGTCTTGGCCAAGCACACCCTAAGGCGGTGCTGTGTGCAAGTCAGTTTTTTACCTGTCCTTAGGGAGGGTGCTTTGAGAAATTATCCTGCAGATAACGTGAGGGGACTTGTGACCTCGTTGAGGAAGTAGGCCACAAAAGAGTCAGGGCAAGCATGGTATCTGAAGAGTTCGCGCATGGTCGGGGTGATATGGCCACCAACCATGGTACACGGTTGAGACAGGCAGAGGACCATGGTATCCACTGCCCAACAGCTCTTCAGTGAGCTTGTTTACATCAGACTGACTGTGGGTCAGTTAGCCCCCACGATCGGAAACTCCTAAGGAAGTCCCCATCAGTGAGAAAACATTCATGTGCACACAGGAAATAGAACTCAGTCGACAAAATTTTCCACCCGGTGTAGATCTGAAACCACTTCGGAGTTCTTCCTCAGCAAGCAAGTAGTTTTCCCCTGCACAACACAGAAGCTTCCACCGATGACTCAGCCCTTTAAACTTTGCCTCTTGAGTCAGAAAGGAACTAACTCAGAGGCTCCGCCTGGCCAGTGGGGTCTCTGGTGAGGTGGGGCTGGTTTCCTCAGCAACTGAACAGAAATCCTGGGAGCTACTGAAGAACTCCATCAATCCAAACCAGACTTGCCTGGTGGTGCAGCCTGGCACAGTGGACCCAGTCAATAAAGCTGGGTTTTTTGTGGGGTTTTTGTTGCTGTTGTTCCCATTGTTGCCCTCTATATGACAGGTGGATTGACGCCCCCTTGTTGTCTCCAGATGACCCCATTTCAATTCTTCTTTGTGGAACCCTAAGGTCCCAGGACGAAAGGATCATCATCGTCTCTAGCAAAGTCCTCGAGCCGAGATAAAATTTACTGAAAGGAAGGCACAACAGAGCGAGGCCGGGTTTAAAAATTAAAATTTTCCTTAAATCATGTATTCAAATTCAGATGGCCTTTTTCATCTATCTTGCTGATTTCCAAACTGACCTCAAGGGTCTCGTTGTGTGCCACAGGGTTACAACGCTTACCTAACATATACAAGGTCCTGGGTTCAGCTCCCAGAACTGAGAGTGGGGGTGGATGGAGACAAAAACCTATGCAAATGATTTAAAATCATGTCTAATAATTCCTATTTAAAATGATGGCACAGGACACAGTGGTGTTTCTGTTTCTTAGCCTCTACTGCAGCTTCATCTGGGACTAAGACCCCAGAGACCTGGTGGTGTGTGAAGTGGAGCGGTAGGCACAGAAAGCCCTGTTCTGAGCTGGCTGGCATCCGTCTAAGAAGCAGCTGTCCTTGTGGCATCCCTAGCGCCGTGCCAGGGTATCTGCTCCAGCTGCCTCGCTGGCCACACCAGGAGGCTTTTATGGAAGGGCTTCGAAGCTGCTGCAGCCGCTGCAGTGGCTGTAACCTGGCCTTTCATGGTTCGGTCCAGACAGACGCGTGATTGAAGAAAGGATTCATCCAAGCCTGTGTCACATTGGCCATCTGGAAAACCGCCAACCCCTCATTTAGCAAATCACTTTGTTTAAAGGCAGCGTCTGTGTGGCAGCATTTATGCGCCCAGGATGGATCGCGTAATTCCTCCGCCTTGGTTTATCTGCACCACTCCTCTCGGTCTGCCTAGCAACTTAAAGGGCCGTTAATGCGTGACAAGGCACTTGACCTGCATGATTTCCAAGCCAAGGGAGAGCATCCGTCTTGTGCTGGCTTGTCCTCTCCTCCGAAGCAAGGGCGCGTCGCCCGCACTCTGTCTTAATGAAGCCTGCCTTTATTAAGAATCCCATCAACGACCACCGGGCCCAGCCATCCTGCACTGTAAATATCACCCCCACAGACATGCACCCAGGGGCCTGACGAGGGGGGCTGGCCCCACGGTGAGTACTCACCCACCCTGCCAGTCTGGAGAGAACCTCAGCTCTCTGCAGAGGGAAGGGCATCGGTTGACAGGCTGGTGCCCCTTTGTTTGGGAAGATGAGTTAGAAGCATTAGCAGGTAATGTCACAAGGCCCCTGGGGTGGTCTGAAGAAAGGTTGGACGCAACATGACTTCAGAATAGCAATGAGTTCTCAAGTGTCGGATCCGGGTTTTCTTTTTCCAAAAAAGGAAAGAGAAGAAAGGATTCCATGGAGGCTGAGCTGGTTTCTTCTCAGAATGTTGCTGGTCACTTTGTCCCGATTTGGATCATCACCTGTCATTTACCAAGACAAACGATCTCAGTGACCATTGCCTCCATACATTGCTCATCTGAGGTCATGTTATTATTAAATCTGGAAAGCAGGAACTCAAATCCGTGAGTGTGTCAAAGGCATGTGCTCAACACTTAACTCGGCTCACTGGAGGGTAAAAAAAAGGGGGGGGGGCGGTTGCAGAATAAATGTGCTTTGCCATCACAGCCTTTCAGAAGACAAATACAAACGGGTCTGTTTAGTGGCTAGTAAAGATGCAGACTTTGGTGTCAAGTGCCGCTGAGATTTGGGTCGAGGTCTCTGAGATTTAGTCTCCTTCTCTCGAAAGGAAAGGGACGTGTACCTCTTTAAATTCCTTTTAGAAGTACTGAAGCAGTGCTTATATATAGTAAGAGCCCCGCAATCCTGCTAACGGCAGGCAGGAGCCAGTGATCTTCAGGATGGATTCGAGAAAATAGTCTTTAGACTGGGGCAAGGGAGGAGACCTTCTTGAGCCAGCTGCATACTCCAAGTACCAGCTTGGGAGAAGATAGCCAATGAATGCCCCCCTGTAAGCATGACACGGGGATGGGGGGCAGGGAAGGAAGTGGCAGCCAGGTGGACTGAAGGAGGGCTTAACTCAGACCACAGAAGTGGAAATGATGAAAGATGGGGCCCATGGATGGAGGCTTGAAGGCTGAGGCCTTTTAAGGGTCTCAATTTAATCTAGCAGGGAGCAGGCTGCCATCTCGGTTTCTTGCAGGGGAGCAGCTGAGTGGAAGCTGTCCGTGGGTTGGTACGCGATAGGTCGGTGGGGAAGCGCAAGGCTGGAAGATGGGGTCCAAAGCCAGATAGCACCCCTGGTTAGATGGATGGGGAGTTCAGAAGAGGGAGCCAGGGGACGAATGGGAGGTAATAATGCCGGGATTCCTTTTCAAAGCAGACAGACCTGACGCCCACATGCGCGCCAGGCAGGTGGAAGAAGGGAAAGGAAAGAGAATTGCTTCCCCCACCGTTCTAGCTTAGCTTGCTCCAAGCACAGGTCCCTAGGACACCAAGAGAGTGACAGAATCTATTAGGCACCTCATGGCAGCAAGGGTTTTTATTTTGTTGTTGTTGTTGCTTTGTTTTCTTTTTTAATTAAAATAAAATCAGACCATTATTATATACACCAAGCTATTACGCCGGTGTGTCCCCCCATATCAAATGCAACTCCAAACATAGCTACTGTTTGGAAGTCCTTTGTGTGCCACAAGGGAGTGCCCTGTGACTCTGAGGCCCATCACTTGGACAAGTGCAGTGTGGCTGAGCTGATGTCCCCCTCAAGGTCATGGACGCCCCAGTGTCTCTGCGTTTGACTCTCCACCTGGTTGGGGAGGGGTAGGGCTGTCTGAAAAGTCACCTACTCATCTCGCAGGGAGAAATGCCATTTGCTCTTTCTGCTGAGAGAGCGCACACTTTCAGCGCATGGGGAACAAGTAGGACTCTTTTTTCATTTCTTTTCTTTTTCGATTGATTGCAGGGATGTGTGAACATTCTGGTTTTGGCATCTGTAGGTGAACTATTAAGGTAAATATTGAAGTTTAAATGCAATTGCTGAAGAGGTGGAGCCATATGTTTTTAAAGCAAATTTTTTTCCATAATATCTTATATATGTATTGCAATAGGGTAAAAGATTCAACCAAATGTTCTCAAGATGGCCAGGGGGTTGGCGGATGTGGCTCCGTCTGGAAAGTGCTTATTGTCCAAAGATGAGGACCTCAGTTCAATTCCCCAGCACCCACATAAAATCTGGGTGCAGCACACCAGTATCCCCAACAGGAGTGGAGACAGGCGAATCCCTGTAGTAGGCTGACTGGTCAGTCTAGCCTAATGGATGAGCGAGCCCCAGGGTCAGCGAGAAATCCTGTCTCTAAACAAGGTGACGAGCAAAGGAAGGAGCTACCTAATGTCAACCTCTGACTCCATACACATGTGTATTATACGTGAACATGCGTGTGTGCACGCATACACGTATGTGCGTGCACATACACACACGGGGGGGGGCTTGGTGCTTTGCTTTTTCTTCTGAGTTCTAATCTCCTTAGACTCAGACTCCACTTCACAACCCTGCTCCATGATACAGTCACAATACCACTCTGTACCTCTGAAGCTGAATCTATTCATTCATCCAAGAAACAGTTCTCAGTATAACAAAGCAGATGATAATAAAATCAGCAATACAAAAGATCAAAATGGATATTTCAGGGAAACATAAAATATCCAGATGATGAGCTGTTGTAACTCAGGTGAGCACGCTGCATGTGGTGGTCCAGATAGAAATCCCCGCCCCCGCCCCCCCCCCCCACACCGTAGGCTCATGGATTTGAATGTTTGGCCCTTAGAGAGTGGCGCTACTTGACAGGGATTAGGAAGTGTGTCACTGGGGGTGGCCTTTGAGGTTTCAAATGCCCAAAGCCAGGTCCAACGTCTTCTCTCTCGCTGCGGTCTGAGAATCCAGATGGAAGATTCTCAACTCCTTCTCCAGCACCGCATCTGCCTCTGCGCCACCATGCTTCCCGCCATAATGATAATGGATTAAATTTCTGACCTGTAAGCCAACCCAAGTTAAATGTTTCCCTTTCTAAGAGTTGTCATGGCCATGGTGTCTCTCCACAGCCATAGAACATGACTAAGACACTTTAACAAACGTCCACCGAGTTCAGTGAGTTTTCACAACAGAAATTTACTTGCTATTCAAGTAACAGTTCAAGTAATTATTCAAGTAATAGAAGTATTTGGTGGGCAGCCTCTGTGTAGTGATTCAGGCACTTCCCCTAGGCCCAAACAACCAAGTGGGGGAAACACAGAGAAAGGGGCCCCACAGAGGAGTTTTCTAAGTCTCCTGTGCGTGCTGGATGCCACTCCTGCCGAATGTATCAGTCCCTTTCTGTTGCTGTGCTAAACACCGTGACCTAAAGCAAAGAGAGTTTATTTCGGTTTACAGTTCTGGGGGAGGGGGTGAGCTCCGTAATGGTGGGGGAGGCATCACTGCGGGCTGAGAGGTCACATCTTAATCAGCAGACAGGAAACAGAGAGAGCAAACTTTAAGTAGGGTGAAGTTGCCAACTCTCAAAGCTCACCTCCAGCGATGGGCTTCCCCCAGCAAGGCCACACCACCTCCCCAGACAGAGCCACCAACTGGAGACCCAGAGTTCAACTACCTTAGCCCATGGGGCACACTTCCCATTGAAACCACCACTGCCTGTAGTCCAGAGGCCAGTCACAGGGCCACTTCCTACCACCCCACCATCCTGAATTCTTCCCTCCAGCAATCCTGGGATCCAATCCCATCTCTTCCAGAAAGTGTCCCAGATCACAGCTCATAGCCCTCCCTCTGCAATGCCCCTGGCATGAGTCACACCCAGCACCTTTCTTGCCATCAAATGTGCTGTCAGGAAGAAGAGCACCTGTCCTTTGATGGTCTCTCAATTCACAGTTGCAAAGGGATAGTGTGCATTGGCTTCCTGTCACCATGACAACAGACCCAAGATAGACAACTTTAAAGAGAACGGGGGTTCTTTTTGCTCAGTTTGTGAGATTCCAGCCCTTGATCGTTTGGCCCTGCTGGGTTTTGGCCCTGTTGTTTTTTGCCCACAGGGACATAGTACCTCGTGGTGGAAGGATGTGGTAGAAGAGGCCATCCCACGGTAGCTTGCCAGCAATGGAGACAGGAAGAGGAGGGGCCAGGATCCCAATATCCCTTCAAGAGCGTCCTTCCAATGACCTGACTTCCTCCCTCTAGGCCTCGCCTCTTCACGGTTCTGTCACCTCCCACAGTTGGACAAAGCTGTCAACACAGTAGGCCGGGGGGACACTCTCCATCCAAGCTCTCGTAGTGAGAGGCTATGGCACACCGGCCCAAAGGTGTGGTCCCCAGCAGGGACGCCCCCTGCTCTGAGTCTTGGGAGATTACCTGGAAAACATGACCGCCCACGCAGAGCCGGTGAGAGCGGGAGACGGTAACTCAGATGCACCCAGGAGGAAAGACCAGTGCAACTGATGGGGTGGCATGGGGCGTCCTGACGTCAGGACTTGGGGGAAAAAGCCGTGCCCGTCCTGGAGAGGAACAAACTGTTGGACTATGAGGACAGTGTGGCCACCACGACTACTTCTGGTAAACTAGAGATGGTCTCGTGGAGTGATCCAGAAAGTGAAAGTCAGGAATGAGCCTGGCTTCAAAGTTACCTAGGTGCCCTTTTCAAACAAAAAGAAAAGATGGCCAGAATTCACCACAGAGCCATAATTCAAGCTCTTTAACTATACTGGTAGCTGACCTAAGGATAAGCTCCCCGCCTCCCAGTATTCTGGGTTCCAGGACATTCTATACCAACATGTGTAAGCACTCAAGTGCTTCAGCTAAAATCACACAGTGTTTGATAGAGCCTGCATACGCCCTCCTTGGTGCTCTAAGCTGTCCAGTGATGTGTACAACCAGACAGAACGTAAATGATACGTAATCAGTTGGCTGTCATGCTGTGGTTTTTAGGGAGCAGTGTCAAGAAAGGAGTCTCTATATACTCAAGATAGACGCAGTTTGGTTCGGTCTGTGCCTGTTTGGTGATCGGTAGGCTTAACCAGAGATGTGGAACCTGCAGGAAGGCAGGCTGAGTGTCCAGTTTTCAGCTCAGACCTTGATAACCTCACTCTCAGCTTTTAAAGCTGGGGCCTCTGGCTGGCTTATGGAATGTTGCTCAAGCTACCTGGGAACCAGTGCAGAAAACCTGGCATGCTCGATAGATGGGAGGGGAATCAGGGATCGCCCACAGTAACGGGCAGATCTGTGAACCTATCCCATGTGGGAGCTTGGGTAAGAGGGTGAGCTGCAGCCTGGACGTGCTGAGGGATACGAGATCATAGGCTACAGATCATAATTATAGATTACAGAGTTGATGGAGACACTAGTGTCCTGCAGTGGCCTCACAGTGAGGAGATCTGGGACTCTTCTGGATGGAAATGTTCTTGTTTGGTATCCTCTGTGGAGCATCTTCTTTTCGGACTTCCTCTGGAAACAGTGCACAAAAGTCCAAGTCTATCCCTTGCGCCTGGTCCTACAGTGCCCGGCAGATTGGCAGGCAGGGAGGGCCCTTGACACACCACCTCTTCAGTCTCCCCCAGAATAACTCTGGAGACCGGAGTATGTGCCTTTGCGGACTGGGAATCAGTGTTAGTAGGTGACCCAGGGATGGGTGTGACCACTGCATGATCACAAGTGCACAAGGTCTCTCTCTGTCTCTCTCTCTGTCTCTCTCTGTCTCTCTCTCTGTCTCTCTCTGTCTCTCTCTCTCTCTCTCTCCTCTCTCTCTGTCTGTCTCTCTCTCTGTCTCTCTGTCTCTGTCTCTGTCTCTGTCTCTCTCTCTCTCTCTCTCTCTCTCACACACACACACACCCCATGGACACGGACCACAGAGCAGATACCCTTCTTGAAGACATCCCATAAAGACTCCTGATCCGCACACAACACAAGACATAATTACACTGCAATCCCCCAAACCTCACCGTGCCCGAAACACAAGCACACACCTGTACACACACAGTCACTCACACTGCTTCTCCATATGAGAGGAAGAGGGAAGCTGAGGAGTTCCTGTGGTACGGTCTCCTATGCACATGTGGGCCGCAGTCAGGATACAGTGATTACAGTAGTTCCTCCTCCACGACAATGGCCCCACTGCAAGCAGAACTCACAGAAACCAATGGGGGCTTTAGAGAAACATTCTATTCAAACCCGGGCGGACACAGATGAACACTCCCTGGCCTGACAGATGCTCAAATGCAGCCACAGACAACAGGCTCCCATCTACAGTTGACATCAGTCTTCCAGGGAGGAGCTAGAAAACCACTGCCATCCATTTATCGTGAACGACGGCGCTTCAGGTCCAATACTCCAGCACGCAGAGGAACGAACGGAACAGGAGAGCACTCAGGAGACAGTGCCCCATCACTTGGCTGGTCCATGTAGAGGCAGGTATCTCTTTTGTCAGAATTTTTGAGAAAAAGGAGCAGAGAAAATTGGAAAAAGCAGTTTCAGGGAACAGTCGCGCGTGCCTCTGAGACAGCTGCCCGTCTGCTGACTGGGCTGGCTTTCTGAACAGCTATGCAGTCGACTAGCCCTATGATCCAAAAATTACAGAATTTAAAAAAAAAAAAAAAAAACAAAAAGCAAAACAAAACAAAAATCCCAGAGGCCATGCCTCAGTAAGAAGTCTTCAAGCTATTCTTCAAAACTAGGTCCCCTCAAACAGATCCTAGGAAGTGGGTGGCAGAGGGAGGAGGGGAGAGACGAAAGGGATAAAAAAAAGACAAGCAAGTGGACGGCTAACAGGCTCGGAACACAAGAAATAGCCCTGGGCAGCTGGGCCCCATCTGGGAGTCATGAGAACAGGGAGAACTTTGAGCCAGTGGGCACCTCTTATCATGAGAAAGGAGTTTCCAGAGGCTCCTCACAAATCTGGTGGTCCCCCCTAGGTTTAGTTTTCTGTGTATTTGTTCCTGTCTGCAGTGAACTAACCAAGGACACCCTGGTTTTAGGGGGCATCAGAAGGCTTCTGGGGACAGACTGGGACAGAGCACACGCTCTCCAGATGTCAGTGGGAAAATAGAACATGAACATAAATACTTAGCACTTGCTTAGGTGGAATCTTCTATGGGTTTACATGTCACTGTGACCAGCATACCTGGCAGATAAACATAGGAAAGAAGGTCTTTTGACCACCACTGTTTCAGAGGGTCCTGCCCATGGCAGATCGTCTCCTGGGCAGAGGACCATGGTGGCAGCACGTGGTGAAAGACAGCCTTACTTCTTGACAGACAGCAATCAGTGTGACAGGAAGGAGCCAGGGATAATATGTCCCCAAGAATCCTCCCCAAGGTGATCTACTTTCTTCAGGCATGTTCCACATCCAACGTTTCCAAGACTGCCGGGTCCTCCAGCAGATAGGGCTGAGGCGGAGCTGGCCCCGCTGGTCTCTCCCTGGGGCTGAGCGGGATGGTGAGTGTCGATGACCCAGACCTCCCCTGGCCACCAGGGAGAAACACACACCGAGCCAGGAGTCTGCCTAAGCAGGAAATCACTTTATTGCATCAGGGCAGGAACTTACACAGGGTGGAGGTAGGGGGCAGGAGTCTTGGGATGGGGTAAGGTAGAGTAAGGAATAAGGGCCAATAATATCCTGCCATGTCAGTGGTGGCTGGGCAGAGGTGGGCCTAGGATGGGCTGTGCTGAGTCAATCCTCTCCAAACTCAAGTTAGGCTCAGGAAGTTACACTGGGCCTCACCAAACTCAAGTTAGGCTCAGGAAGTTACACTGGGCTTCACGACCAGGTCTCATGAGGCCCAACACAAGACCTTCACATTAGTGGCACCAGCTATGACCAAGTGTTCACAACATGAGCCTGGGGGAGGCATTTCTTATGTCAATCATGACAGTTTTTTTTAATGCCTTATATAAGAATAATCATCCTTGTTTGCTTATCTCTCATGCCCGGATACCGTCCACCAAGTTCTGACTTGTAATATCTGTAATAACGCTAACCTACAGCCGACTCACAGTGACCACGGTCCTCGCTCAACCTGTCCTCATTATCACTGACACAAACTTCTCCCTGGCCTCTCTCACCCTCATTTCTGATCCCTTATTTCATTTGGGTGGTTTGGGGTGGGGAATATATCCAATCTTACACTCATTCATCAAACACTGACTGAGCCTCTACTACGGCCAGTCTTTGCCTTTAGTGTTTACAATACCTCAGTGAACAAAGCAAGAGTCTTGCCCCTTGTGGAGTTAAAGTCTATTGGGAGCAAAACAAAACAGATAGAATAAGTTATATGATATTTTTGAAGCTGATAAATGTAAAAAATAAAGAGTTCCAATGCCCGATACCCACATGCGTATGAATGGGTGCACACACTCAAGAGTGCAGTGTTTGGTGAGGTAGCCGGAATGGGCCCCATCAAAGAGGGGAGGAAGGAGAAGGAGTGAGGGGGAGGAGGAAGCTGGGGAGGGGAGGGTGCTGTTGTCTAGGGGAAGGGAGAGTGTTGTTGTTGAAGAAGTGCCAGAGATGGGCCCTTGGGTGGGCCATATCTGGAGAGCTTGAACAAGGGCAGCCAGGCTAGAATGACTATATCAGGATTGGTGTGGGGGCATGAGATCAAAGCACTAAAGGAGGTCTGGGAGGTCAAGATGGATGGAGGTCTTGTCATAGGTCCATCACTGTATACGTGTTCTGACGTCTGTATTGATAGATCTCTGTCATGGTGATGTCAAGGTAGAGATGGTGAAAGGTGATGGTGTCTCTCTTTCTGGAGCATTTCATTTAACAAACATGACGGATGGAGACCCTGCTTAATTTCCCCTGTGCATTTCTTCATGATGCCTGCAAACCCCAGTGAGCCCCCATGGGTTGAAGCAAGTGGACTTCTAACAAGCATCCTTTTCTGTCACATTCCTTGTGTCTGTCTTGGTGACTTCCTCTGCCTGTTTATAGCCCTTCTTAGGGCCTCCAGGAAGTGTCTTTTCTTAGGGAACCTTCTTCTCTCTGCATCATACAATTATCAACACAGTTTGGGTAGACTTCACTGACTGGCGCTACAGTGCTACACCAGAGTGTCTTGTTCACAATCTGTCACTAGACTGGAACTGCTATAGCATAGAAATTAGAAGTTTTATTCATGAGTCCTGGTAGGCTTTGGATTAATGGATGGATGAATAGATGAATGGATGGACGGATGGGGGATGGGTGGATAGATGAATGGATGGGAGGGTGGGTGGGTAGATGGATAGATGGGTGGGTGGAAGAGTGGATGGATGGATGGATGGATGGATGGATGGATGGATGGATGGATGGGAGGGTGGGTGGGGTGGGTGGATGGGTGGATGGATGAATGATTGGATGCATGGGTGGATGATAGATGAATGATTGGATGGATGGGTGGATGCATGAGTGGGTGAGTGATAGATAGTTGAGTGTGTGGGTGGATAGGTTGGTTAGTGGATGGATGGATGGATGGATGGATGGATGGATGGACAGATGAAGAATGGACAGAGGTAGATGGAGGGAAGTGGGGAGGATGGGTACTGGGTAGATCGATGCTGGCTCTCTCATCTGATCTTGAATTCAATGCATTCTATTTTTAGTTTATAGTTAGTTAGGCACTTGTAAATGTTCAGATCTAACAGCTTAGCATTTCTGCTACTGGGGGCTGGTCATGAAGGAGTCTGCCTGAAAGCCAGAAGCATATGGACTCATCCGTTACCCGTGGTGACTATTTTTTTTTTAAGTTAAAAGGAGGGGATTTCGATAAACAAAGTCTTACTGGCCCAATGACCAAACATAACTTCAGAAATGCTTTCTTTTCTTCCACACACTTTTAAATTAGCCATTTGCACTTTTGACTTCAGTTTGGTTGGACTCTCCTGTCCCTTTTAACCTCTGTCACATGCATCATGCAGCTAAAAGTGGCTGATTTATGCCTGGCATCGTACTGGAGAGGATTCTCTCTGAACGTGAGAATGAACATTCAGGCCTGAATGCCTCTAATTCATTTGGTTTTCTTCCCATGCTACCATGGTGAGTTTGGGAGCATATTTTCTCTTACCTTGAGAGAAGTGGCAAGATGCTGGCTATTCGTGTCATAATCAGAACAGATTGTTTACAAATATTTGAGTAATTATTTGAGAATGCCGTTTGATCATATTCTCCATATCCCTGAAGAAGATTTTGTGCAATGCTGTCAATGTACCTGCATTTAGTTACAATTGTCTTGTAAGGTCAAGTATGAGATTCACCTCTTGTGGTCTTTGGAATTGGAGGACATTTCTGGGATGTTCAGTCTGTGGTTCTATCATATGGGGAATATCATAGAAATATTTCCCTTAGACATTTTAGTCACCCACATACATGGACACACAGTAGTCCTTTGACTAACTGTACTTTAAGTGTTAAGTTTCCATGTTTCAGCACACTGAAAAGTTCTCTCTTGCTAACTCCCAAGACATTTAATCAAATGTACTTCAGAATAGGAGACCAAGTCCTGGAATCAGGATTGGTCCCCCAAACCTGTGCTTTTAATCTTGGACCTGCAGCTAGGGCATCACATGGGGGTATAGGAACTGCAGGGTCTCAGTGACCTGGTGTAGGCGGAGTTTCCTGTCCTGACAGCCCGCTCCCTGTCCCAGTGGCTGCTTCCCAATTACCAGACAGAGACTGAATATTATTTATAAATGCTTGGCCAGTAGCTCATGCTTATTACTAGATAACTCTTAGATTTAAATTAACCCATACATCTATTAATACTTTGCCACATGGCTCATGACTTGTTACCTCCTTTTCTACAAGTTCTGCTTGCTCAGTAGCTGGCTGGCATCTCCTGACTCCTTTCTCCTTCCCAACATTCTCAATTTGGCTTTCCCACCTAACCTAATTATGTTCAGCTTTTGGCTAGTCAGCTTGTTTATTAACCAAACCACAAAGGGATTATCCCACAGCAACCTGGCATCTCCATTCTGGGTACACTTACTGGAATATTATATTTGAACCATGAGATCACCATCATGTGCAATTGTTGACAGGTAGTCAATCTGTTTGCAACCACTGAAATCCAGGTTGCCCACGCTGGGATTCTGATGTTGCTATGTACTGACTTTGGCAAGTCCTTTATCTTTTGTGCCTCTGTTTCCTCCTCTTTCAAAGAGAATAATATCAATGCTCTACAAAGGATTTTTTTAAATGTCTTGCTCCCTACAGAAACCCAGCAAACTCTTTAGCTTGTACAAACATTTCATTATTTAAAAAAAAAAAAAAGACCATATTATTTGTAACAGTCACACACTGGCTTTTTTTCCCCTGGACTCTAGAAAAGGAAGTGCTCAAGGGGTATGGCCCATTCAGAGAGCTCCCCACTGACAGAGTACTGAGGGCTGGGAGAATGGACAAGGATGGAGGCAGGTGCAGCCTCCAACTGAACGATTCCCCAGAGGCAAGACTCCTGGCTGAGGACAGGGTATAAGAGGGAGATCCTTCTATTCTTGTCCTCAGAACTTGGAAAAAGATGCCTAAAGTTGAGGACATGCCGAGCATCGCCATTCACAGCGCTGCAGCCTCTCCAAACGCAGAGTACACCCGCTGGAAGGTGCACGGAGACTGTGTCACTCAGGTAAAAATAGAAGAAACAAACTGGAGCTTGCAGGCTGCCCTCTCTGTGCTCAGGGACACCACCTGAGCCTTCAGGTAAGATCCCTCTCTTCCGCTTGGTAAGCCAGCACTGCTCCTAAGGTGACTCTGCAAACCTAACTGGGAACAAATCCATGTCACATAAAATCCAGAGAGCTCCATACGAATGAAAACCAGCTGGTTTGGTGAAATGAACCTCCTGGTGGGATGGTCCTTGCCCAGTGTCCTCGGTCTGAAGATTGTAGATATCTTCCCCCTTGCTCTTTAGGGCTAAAAGTAACTCAACTTACATGGCCAGAATGCATTAGGATAATCATGGGGTTATTCGTGTAGGATTGAGTCCATGACCTCTCCTCTGGCCCTGAGAAGCTAAGACTTTGCTTCTCAGGTACTCAGGTACACAGGAAAGCAAGCACTGCAGTTTGTACTAAAGTCTTCAACCCAGTGCAGAGCAGTGTGTGGGGACATGAGGAACCCTGGGGATACACGAGGCGTGCAATCTTACACCGTGCCTGTTCTCACTGAACACACTGGCTTAAGCCAGACAGAAAAGTTTGTGCAAGAAATGAATGCTAAAAAAACATTACTGAGGGCTGGCAAGATGGCTCAGCTGCCAAACTTGTGGACCTGAGTGCCATCCCTAGGACACACAAAGTGGAAAGAGAGACCGACTCCTCTAAGCTGTCCTATGACGGTCACAGATGTGCCATGCTGTGTGTGTGCGCACACACACATGCACGCTCACACCCATGCACACATATATACACTCAAAATAAATAAACGTAATAAAATTTTTTTGAAGAAATAATATTGAGCAAAAGAAAGAAAATCAGGAAACCACCAAACTTACTTGGTAAATAAAAAGGCAAATTAAAGGGAAGGGAAGGTTGGATCCAGATCATTTTTTCTTCAACATAAAAACCAATAAAACTTCAAACACAAATCAAGGAAAAGAAATACCGTTCTTGCAACAGACAGAACCTTTCTATCACCCCACGAGATCCCTTCAGATAGCTCCCATGCCCACTCAATCACTACTCTGTATTTGTGTCATTTAAGTTGTCACTCGTAGCCCATTTTATGTTAAAAACAGAAAACAACAACAATAAAGAAACATGTCACACTATGCACGAGCCCTTCTTGCCTGGTTTCTTCAGTTAGCATAAATGGAGCCAGACTTCTTATAGAGTGTGGCAATTCGGATTCCTTACTACCTGCTGTCTACTGTGTGACAATGTTAACTCCAAAGATTAGAGGAGAAAAACCACTGACCCAAATCACCATGACCAAATTAATTAAAAAGCAAATGTTTTTATTTGTGTACATGGGCTTTCTCTCCCTAAGGGTTCAAGAGATCAGCATTGGGCTTGAGAAACACAAGGTTTTTTATAGCTCAAGGGTAGGGGGTTCAGAATGGGGGATTTGGTGAGCAAGACGGGTTTGGTTAAAGGAGCAGAATATAAGCATAACAGGTTGGTCATAACATCCTCCTGAAACAAAGACATGACTGCAAAGTGATCATAGCAAGGTAGTCATAGCAACAGGTTGACATAACAACCTTTTCAAACAACGGTAGGGTTGCAGGATGGTTATGACAACTTTTTGAAACAAAGGCATGGTAGCTGTTTCCTGGAACAGGCAAGACAAAACTGTTTGTAATTAAAGTGACAGATGGGGCATAGCCCCAATGCTATGATCTGCTGGCCTACCACCTGGGTACCCTGTCCCTTTAAGAGACAAGCCCAGCCCACTTGCAAGCCCCCCCCCCACTTCCGCTGAAAAGAGAGCATAGAAGTCTCATTTTGGCATGGGCCCTGCCTCCCCAACCCAGCCCTCTACAGGTCACTTCTTCTACTGCCCTACTGGGTTGGGGAGGCAGGGCCCACACCAATATGAGGCATCAAAGCCTAGCACTGCCTTGCTGCTTAAGACCTGGACCAGAAGGAACTATACAGTAAGAGTTCTCTAGGCCAGGCTGCCCAGGAGTGGGGGTATTGCTACCCAGCTGTCCTGCCCAGGAGTGGGGGATGTTGTTGACCTTGTTTCTGAGAAGATTAACTGCAATGAACAGGTAAAGGCACTCCTGGCCCTTGCCATGCTTGGTGTGGTAGATGGTCCTGTGGCAACATTGACCTGTTACCCAGGGCTCCAACCTCCATGCTCTCTTTGCACTGAAAACTTACTTTCTTCTCTCTGTCCCTTTGGGTCTCTGGCCGCTGGGACTCATGAGGATCAGAAACAAAGGCAACCTTTCTTGCCGCCACTTCTGAGTTTAGCACCCTGCCTACAAAGACCAAATCTTAAGAAAGTCTAAGGATCTTGTAGATCACAACGGGTCTTCTAACAGCACTGCAGCTTGATCCAATCTACAGCCTAGGGCTACCGGCTTTCTTTGGGAAGAAAGGGAAGTGAGACAAAGAACTCAGACTCCATCACATCTGGTTCCTTTCATCTGAGACTGGCTCACTCCCTCCCTCAGAGTCCTGCCCCCAAATCCTGACCGTCCAATCCCCACACACCTGTCCAAGGTCCAGCTCAGTCTTCAAAATCAGGAAAAGTAAATGAGTCAAAGAGTCTCCCTCTCCCAGGATGCTGCTCATGTCTCTTTTGATAGAGCTGGTTTCCAAGGAGGAGAATCTTTTCCTCTGAAGACTGCGCACAGCTTTCAGTTTTTCTCAGAATGAAATAAACTAAACAGTAGAAGCTGCTGCCGGCTCTGCCAGCCAGAGAATGCCCGGGGAGCATTGCGTTGGCATTAGCTCCCAACACTGAAGGAAAGAAAGAACTGAAGACTTGCCAGGCCACCTACATATCTGCCCACAAACATGGGTATTTTAAAGGTCACTTCTATTCCTGGAAATGTGGATGCTGTCTCCCTCCCGAGATCTTTGGGGGAAAATGATGTAAGAACATTGTTATTTCACCTTGTGGGTGATCTCTCTAATTTTTCTCATTTTTTTTCTTTCCAGCTGAACTACTATGACTCTATAAACGCTGTCATTTCCAGTTCCAATCACGAGCCCACAGCTTTAGTAATAGGTACGGTGTCTACTCTTAGGTGTCTACTCTTACCGTCGGTAGGGTCTCCCACTTTTAGGGCTGCACTGACATTCTATACCCTGAGGGAAAATGTTAATCCCACCAATCGAGAATAAGGCCACACCACAGTTTACAGCCAAATTTGAAGTAAGCTTTGATTAAATACTGGCCAGGTGGATGGGCTCTGGCCAGATCCATCTCTGGTTCCTCAGAAAAATGGCCCGGAATCCAGTTTTGCAAGGACTTAAAAAGGAAAACCCATAATTCACTTCATTTCCCATTACATCCAATCAGGGGCAAGCATACATCCTGACACACCTCCAGTCTGCACCCAATCGGGGCAAGCATACATCCTGACACACCTCCAGTCTGCACCCAATCAGGGGCAAGCATGCATCCTGACACACCTCCAGCCTGCACCCAATCAGGGGTAAGCATACATCCTGATATTTCCTGCCTCCATACATCCTGTCCACATGGGATCAAGCGCATCCACTGCAGACGGGCCAAACAAACTTGTTTAGGGGAATGAAAACCCGTGGCTTGTTATCTCCCATAAACAACGGTCTACAGCATTTCAGGAACGGTCTGTCCTTGGGCAAGAGGCTTGCAGATCAGAGGCATTTGTGTCTCACGGATCTCTAAGGCATAGTAATTAAAACTTCAAATGTAACTTTGGCTCTCACAGAACTCCTTGGGGTGCCGCTGAACTTCCTCTGTTGTTTAGTTCTTCGCTTCCTAAGACTCACATCAGGAGGCTGCTGGGGAGGTGGAATGAGAGAATTTGCTCAATACGCATTGTGTTAAAATATGAGCAAAACCTATTTACAGCAATGCCAGGCTCCCCATCCGAGCACTCCACATCACACGCCATGTATTTTACATGTGTGGGAACGTAGATAGGAAACAGCAGGTAATGGGGCGCTGGCATGAAGCGAGAGGTGGGACTTCAACAAAAATTATAAAAGCAGAGCTGGAGAGACAGCCCAGCAGTGAAGAAGGGGCTAGGCTTCCAACACCTACCTGGTGGCTCATACCTGTCCGCAACTCCAGTTCCAGGGGCTATGAGTCCACTCTTGGCCTCTGCATGCACTGCACACACAGGGTACACTTACATGCCGACAAAACACCCGTGCACATCAAATTGTAATGTAGGGCGCAGTGAAACTACTGAAATCAACCAACGTTTGGTTCATGGGTAGTGTGAGCATTTCTGGCATCTCCTTGCCAGCACATGCGTTGTCAGTGTTCAGGCAAGTGCTTAGTCAGTCCAGGGCCCTACCGTAAATCACTACCTAATCTCTGAACATGCAAGGCATGGCTGCAGAACGTCTCTGTACGCATGCGCCAAGGCCCCTTTCAAAACAGGCTCCGCCCATTCCTTGCTCGCTTCACCGCTTTCTTCTCCGAGGCAGGCCCCACACGGCCCCTGTACACACACACACACACACACACACACACACACACACACACACACACACCGTCAATAGACTTTCACGTGGGGTTTGTAGTACACTGTGGCACTGTGGCTCATGCTCACGGCTCCTGAACTACAAACAGGTAGGAAGAAAGCTTTATTGAGCATCACACTGCCAAGACTGTTTTCGGGGAGGGGGTGCAGAGAGAAGCAAAAGATAAAAAGGCCAGCAGATTTTAGGTGACAACTGTCTTTGACCTGACGAAGGTTGAGCTAGATGCCCATCCTTTTAAGGGAGGTCATAATCTGCAGCCTGCTTTGTGGGCTTCCTGAGGAATACTGAATTTCAGGTTCTGTTCACATAATTCCAAGCCTTCTATTACCCAGTCAGAGCCCTTCTGTTTGGGACATTGTCACCAGCACTGTCACTTTGGAGGAGCCACTTTGGTTATAAAAACAAAAATAAATTAATCAGTATTTTTAAATAGAATATTAGTTGAAGATGTGTTAACTTTTTTTTTCTGAGACTGGGATTCTCTGTGTAACACCCCTAGCTGTCGTGGAACTAGCTCTTGTAGACCAGGCTGGCATCAAACTCACAGAGATTCACCTGCCTCTGCCTCTCGAGTGCTGGGATTAAAGGGGTGCGCCATCATCACCTGGCTGAAGATGTGTTACATTCATTTATGCTGTGGAACATTTGTTTAATGATACAGAGATGTATTGTATTCTTTTATGCTACACTTGCTTAACTCTGTGAAAATGTATAACTTTGCCTGTCTAAAACATCTGATTGGTCAGTAAAAAGCTGAATGGCCAATGGCTAAGCAGGAAAGAGGTAAAAGGTAGATGGGATAATTTAAGAAAAGCTGGCTAGGCCGGGCGGTGGTGGCGCATGCCTTTAATCCCAGCACTTGGGAGGCAGAGGCAGGCGGATCTCTGTGAGTTTGAGGCCAGCCTGGTCTACAAGAGCTAGTTCCAGGACAGGAACCAAAAAGCTATGGAGAAACCCTGTCTCGAAAATAAAAAGAAAGAAAGAAAGAAAGAAAGAAAGAAAGAAAGAAAGAAAGAAAGAAAGAAAGAAAGAAGAAAAGCTGGCTCGAAACAAGCCATGCTAAGGCCAGGCATTCATGAGTAAGAATAAGTCTCCATGTATTTATTTGGGATCTGGGTGTCCCCAAAGAGCAAAGAGTAGGAAAAAAAAAAACAACCCAGCTACAGAATTCCAAGAAAGGTCAAGCAGGGATCCAGTTCCCAGCTCACCTGGGTGTTATGGGTGCTCTCGGTATTTTACTGCTTTATTGTTGCTGTGTTAAAACACCACAGGTGAAAAGTTATAACTTAAGAAGGAAACAAGTTGCTTTGGCGTGCAACTCTGGAGGCAGCACCTTCGTTTCATGCTGCATCGCCCCATGGTAGAGACACAGATGGGCAAGAGAGAGCATTCACAAGCATTCACTCCAGTGAGATTAGCCCATTCCCAAAAATCTGCCTCCATCTGCAAGAGTGAAGCCAGTGTGGCCCATACTCCTTTGTCTGTTCTTCTCCCAGCACCGCTGCACTGAGAACTAAGGTTCTTAACTCATGAACTTGTGGGTGACACCCAGCCACAGCCCTCAGTGTATGGCTAAGACTAGCAATGGATTTCCGCAACCTGATTTTGATTTTGTTGGTGAAAGTTTCTGTCTCACAACCTGCTCCCAAGTAACCACACAGAGGCTCAATATTAATTAGAAATTCTCAGCCAATAGCTCAGGCTTGTGACTAGCTAACTCTTACATTCAAACTAACCCGTATTTCTTACCTATACTCTGCCACGTGGCTTGGTACCTTTGCTCAGCACAACAAGCCCATTTTGCTTCTCTTTGCATCTGCTGGCAACTCCTCAGACTCTGCCCTTCTTCCTCCCAGCATTCTCAATTTGGCTTTCCAGCATAACCTTATTCTGTTTGGCTATTGGCCACTCAGCTTCTTTATTAAACCAGTCATGGAGGCATATATGCACACAGTGTAAAGGAATATTCCACGGGATTCTGTGGAGTGGTAGACTCTGCTGTGGAGGCATGGGCAAACCTGAGACAGACTGTGCACCCTGACATTTGGGTGGACATCAAGAGGTCACATTGGTCTAGATTTGAACTAATAATATAGTTTGAGTGACTGCGTCTTGAGTACTGCCCCTCTGCCTGACCCTGGAGCTTCCTCTAGTTGGAACACTTCCTTAAATGTCAAGGACAGCACGAAACACCTTAAGTGTGTCCAGTCCACTTCCTTAGTATCCATAACAATCGTATGGTATGCATTTACTATTTCAATCATTTTATAAGTGAGTACCTGCACAACTTTTTTTTTTCTACATTGAAGGAAATAAAATTCAAAGTGAGTTAAGCAAAAAAGAGAGTTTTGGAGGGCCGCTTGGGTAGACCTCTTCTGTGCAGACATCTAAACTTAACCTAACTTCAGCCAACACACTACTGTGCATTCACACTGTAAACAAAACCAAGGTGGTGGCGGCAGCTGGTCCCACTAGGAGCAGCGGCGGGTGAGAGACCAGTAGATGCCACCATGCAGAGAAAGTGGGTATAGTTTATTTAGTGGGTTATGGAGGAAAGGGGAAAAGGGAGAGGGAGAGAAAGGGGAGGGGAAGAGAGGGAGGGAGGGAGAAACAAAGGGGGGAAGAGAGAGGAAAGGGGAGAGGAGAAGAGGTGAAGAGGGAGGGAGAGAGAGGAGAGAAAGAAAGAGAGCAGAAGTTACCTCTTGGGGGGAGAGAGAGGGATAGAGAGAGCAAAGGCTGGAGAAGGCAGCAGAAAGGGAGGTGCTGGGAGAGGGCGGGGCTTGTCTCTTAAAGGGACAGGGTACACAGGTAACGGACCAGGCCAGCAAATCATAACAAACCTGACCACACCTGTTTAAACTGCAGGAGCTCACCCACTAGTGTGCACTTTCGAGAAGTGGGGCCTGAAGGAGAGATTTACTAATGGGGGGAAGTGGGGGAAATGACCACTGTACAGTCGCACAGGTAACAGAAGGCCAAACTCTCTCTCTCTCTCTCTCTCTCTCTCTCTCTCTCTCTCTCTCTCTCTCTCTGTGTGTGTGTGTGTGTGTGTGTGTGTGTGTGTGTGTGTGTGTGTCCTTTGCTTCTCTATTTCTGTGAGCAAGGACTGACCAAAAGCAGCTTGGGGAGGAAAGGGCTTCTTTCACTTTAGAGAATACCTTCCTCCATGAAGGGAAGCCAAGTTTAGAACTCAAGGCAGGAACGTGGAGGTAGAAGGCACCCCCTTAAAAGATGTTAGGTCTTAAAAAAAAAAAAACCCAAAACCTAATAAAAATAAAATAAACCTTGGACCAGTCTTAGTACCCGTGGCTCCTCCCAGAATTTTTTACCCAGCCCCCTAGCCTAAACCTCTCCCCCCTAAAGGCTGGGCTTCTGTTTCTCTTCTCCCAGTCTCTCTTTCTTACATAATCCAGCCATTTTGACTCTGTGCTTTCTCTTGGCTCCTTGGCTTCCTCCTCTCACCTCTCTTCCTTCTCCTTCCCCCTCCTCTCTCCTCTTATGGCCCAGTTCAGTCTGGATCATTCCAGA